TCCCCCCACCCCAAATCACACAAATCACCCAAATCACCCAAATCACACAAATCAATCACCCAAATCACCCGAATCACCCAAATCAATCACCCAAATCACCCTAATCACACAAATCACCCAAATCAATCACCCTAATCACACAAATCACACAAATCACACACAGCCGGCTGAACCGAGACCCTCTCGGGAGCTTTTAATCCTCCTCCGTCCCCCCCCAGCCCCCCGTCAGAGACCCCAGGCCGGGCTGCGCCCCCCTGCCCTGATCCGGGGGGGCTCCCCCTCCCTCCCGGGGGGTCACCGCGTAGATCTCGATGTCCCCCTCGGGCTCCCGCCGCAGCAGCCGCACCCCAAAAAACGGGGGCAGCATCTGGCGGAAGAAGCGGGAGGCTCCGGCATCGCCGCCCCGCAGGCGGGCGCTGAGCAGCGCCTGGGCCGGGGGCACCACGAGGTGCCGGAGGGTGCCCAGGAGCGGGGCGAAGGCGCGGGGGTCGTACACGATGTCGGAGCCCAGGATGAGGTGGAATTTGGGGGGGAAGCGGCGCTGGTCGCGCCCCCAGCGCAGCGCCCGCACCCGCGGCGCCCCCGCGCCCCCCGGGAAGTTCCGCCGCGCGTTCTCCCGGAGCTGCGGCAGCACCGGCGGCCGGTCCGTGAGCGTCACCTCCGCCCCTGCACGGCAGCGCGCCCGTCAGGGGGGCACGGTAACCCCCCAGACCCCAATTAACCGTGGGTCAGAGCCGCCACCCCAAAATCCCAGCGAAAGCTCCCCGATATCCCGAGAAACCCCGGGTCAGAGGGACCTCCCCAAACCCTCCCCAGCCCAAAGAAAACTCGAGTCAAAAGGGAGGTTAAACACCCGGGGACCCCCGGATCCAAATAAACTCCAGGGCTGCTCACTCCAGTTTCCAGTTCTGTACTGGGCAGGGGAATGGGGAGCCCCCCAATCCATGGGTGCCCCCCCAGCCCAAGGGTGCCCCTCCCCGGCCCCACAGGTGTCTCCACCCTTTCCACAGGTGCAGCCTCAGCCCACAGGTACCCCCCAAGCGCACAGGGGTGCCCCCCGAGCCCCCCAAACCCCCTGAGTGCCCCCAGCCCCGCCCCGTGCCCCCCGCACCCAGCATGGCAGCGAAGATTCCCACGATGCCGGTACCGGCCCCCAGCTCCAGAACCCGCCGCCCCGCCAGCTCCAGGTTCTGCTCGCCCAGGAACCGGCACAGGGACAGGGCCTGGGGGGGCACAGAGCGGGGCTGGGGTGCGGCACTGCCGGGGGAACCCAGCCCACGGAGCCCCCCTGAGCGGGGGATCCCCTCCTGCGGATCCATAGGGACAAACCCCATCCCCAGGGCTCCTCCACCGCTTCCTGTGCCTCCTCCCAGGGTCATCCCCATCCCCGGTGACCCCCAGCACCACCGGTGGCCACCACCGCCCCAGGATGCCCGGGACACCCCCGCCCGCAGCAGCCCCATCTTCTCAGGGTGCCCATTCCCGGTGTCCCCACCCCCTCCGATGTCCCCCGTTCTCTCGAGGTTCCCCCCATGACTCGGGACCCCCCCTCAGCCTCACTCCAGGTGCCCCCCGCGATGTCACAACGCCCCCATTGTCCCCCGGACCCCCCTGGTACCGCCGTTCTCTCGGGGTCCCCCAGAGCCCATCCCTCCTGCCACCCCCGGGATGTCGCGTGTGTCCCCGCCGTGCCCCCCTCGCCGTCACTCCCGGTACGCCCGGGATGACCCCTCCCCCCCTCCCGGTGTCCCCGACATCCCCGGACCCTCGGGATCCCCCGGCTTTCCCCATCACCCGGTGTTTCCCGGAACCTTCCCGGAACTCGGCGTCCCCCGGGATGTCACCTACACCCCTGGAACTTCCCCCGTGTCCCCCCCCCGGTGCCGCTCACCGCCTCCCAGACGGCCCCGGCGGGCCCGAGCCGCGGCCCGTGGTGCTCCGCGATGTGCAGGACGCGCCCGCACAGCCGGAACCGGCGCCGCTCCGGGAAGAGCTCGGAGAAGAGCGCGGGGTCGCGGGGGAACACGGCCCGCAGCGCCGCTTCTGCTTCTTCTTCTTGTTCCTCTTCCTCTTCCCCTTCCTCTTCCTCTTCCCCTTCCCCTTCCCCGTTCTCTTCCTCTGCCCCCCGCCCCCCCCCGGTCCCCACGTGGCTCCCGGGCGCCGCCATCGCAAAAGGGGCGTGGCCGGACCGAGCCCCCGAAGCTGATTGGTCGGTGCTGGTTAAGCCACGCCCCCTCCGCGGGTGTTGTGGCTCCGCCCACGGCGCGCGCTCGGTCCCAGCCCGCGGTCCCGGGGAGGGTCCGGTGTCCCCCGGTGTCCCCCGGTGTCCCCTGCCCCACCCCCGTGTCCCAGTCTATATCCGGTGTCCCCTGGAGGGTCCCCGCTGTCCCTTGACCTGTCCCTTCCCCATCCCGCTGTCCCCTCATGTCCCTTGCTGTCCCCTGCCGTGTCGCCCCGTTCCCTCCTCAATCGCGATGTTCCTCGGTGTCCCCAGTGTCGCCTGCCCCATGCCGGTGTCAGCGGGTGGGTCCTCATGTCCCCTGCTCCATCTCTGGTGTCCCCAGGCCAGTCCCCAGTGTTCCTTGCCCATTCCCGTGTCCCCTGTCCCCTTCTCTCCTCCCCAGCACAGCAGAGCTCGATCCCGGTGTCCCCCGCCCCATCCCGGTGTCCCCTGCCCCATCCCGGTGTCCCCTGCCCTATCCCACTGTCCCCCGCCCCATTCCGGTGTCCCCTGCCCCATTCCGGTGTCCCCC